TTTGTTTTTTTATTGCTGAAGAGTGTTTCTTCTCCTGCGTTCTACTGTACAGACGTGAATTTACTTTTGCTTCAGCCTGAGGTTTATTCATTACACTTTTTGGTGTGAAAGGGCGTTTATATTTGCTATAAATAGAACTTCTTATATTAAAAACAATCAAGCCCTGCTTATATTTTAAAAGTAACGCAAAAGTAACGCAAAAGTAACGTAACGCATTACTTTCCATAAAAAGTAACTAAGTAACGTAAGTAGTTACTTTTTTAGGGAGTAACGCAATATTGTAATGCATTACTTTTAAAAGTAGCTTTCCCCAACACTGGTGATAGATGCGGGCGCTCCGCGGCACTCACCGGGTGCGTAACTGAGCACTCTTACATCCGGCTCCTCCTCGGCTAACACGCGGAGCATCATGTCGCGAGCGGCTTTCCCGGTGCAGTACAGGACCCACGACGGGAAGGGCTTCAGCGCACACAGAGAGCTGATGTTGACCACCGAACGCCGCAGACCCAGACGGCGAGGAAGCGCTTGCAGGACGCCGGCCGTCAGACTGAGCGCTCCGCTGACGTTCAGCGACAGATAACGGTTGACCTCCACCGGATCCGTGAAGGTCAGAGCGAAGCTAGACACGTCGCCCAGAGACGCTAAAACCAAAGAGGACCAACTGTCACTCACGTGCTTCACACTACGTCTTGTTTTCCAGTGCAACAATATAACCATTCTTAAAATAAGATACATTTAAAAGCAAAATGACATCTGAGATGAAGTCTTGTTTTCTGAGAAATGTATTAAAAGCCAGAAAATGTATGCTTACAACAAGAAAAATATGTCTTGTTTTCCTTTTGAATTAAGTTGATTATTTTCTGACCTCATTAGTAGATATGTGTTTTTATTTTAAGCACAAACTCACTTAATTTTTCAGAAAACACTTGATAAAGTAATTTTGCTTCAAGTAAATGTAAATATTTGTACTGGAAAAAAAGACACAAATAATGAATAAGAAAATCATATTTTGCAGTGAATATAAATCAATAATAAAAAAATAGGTTTCAAATAAATGTATAAATTCTTTAAAAATTTTAATAAATTATAAAAAATAAATAAAATCGAAATAAAATATTTTTTAAAGAATTACATTATATTATTATAAATTAAAATTAGATTTAAATGAATAAATAATACTAATATCTCAAAGTACAGTACAAAAATGTAATGTAAAAATACATTTAAAATATTGATTTAACAGGAAAACAAGACAAAAATACTAAATCAGTAATAAAAAAAATGATTAAATTAAATTTATAAAATTCAATCAAATATAAAAAAAATAATAAACATAAAGTAGATTTATTTGTTTTAATTTTACATTTTATTCTTAGTAAGTTAGATCTTAATTTGACATTTTAAGGATTTAATTTGTAGAAAGTTTTTTATTTTAATCATTTTTATTTGTATTTATTGTTATTTTACAGTTTTGATTTTATTATTTTTTTTAATTATTAATTTAAATGTACATTTTTATGATTTAAATGTTTTAGTAAGTAAGTTTATGCTGCTTTTATTCTAAAATTTTTGTAATTTTACATTAAGATTTATAGTGTAGTATTTTTACTTGTTTTTATTCTAAAATTATTTATTTATTTATATTTTTAAAAAATAAAATTGGTCTTCCTGTCAGATTACGTGGTCACATATTAATCTCTGTGAATTAAAAATCAGGCAGCGGACGACGAATTAAACAGACTATGCATGCAACACATATAAAATACAGGGAAAAACACCGGTGAAAAATCAACACATTACATTGGGCCCAATTTTATGGATTTATTTTAGAGTGCACTGTAAAAATGTTTGGTCAGATGACTAGAAAATTGTGCTTCAGGATCAGGATGAGCATGAGACTAATGGCCAAGTATGATACACACACACACACACACACACACACACACGCACACACACACACACACACACACACACACGCACACACACACACACACACACACACACACGCACACACACACACACACACACACACACACGCACACACACACACACACACACACACACACGCACACACACACACACACACACACACACACATGGAATTAGTCTTTGTGAATATTTCAGTACATGGAGAAAAAATAAAATAAACAAGACACATATTATAAACTAATTGAATATATATACACTGCCGTTCAAAAGTTTGGGATTAGTAAGATTTTTTATGTTTTTTAAAGAAGCCTCTTCTGCTCACCAAGGCTGCATTTATTTGATAAAAAAATACAGAAAAAAACGTTAAAATTGTGAAATATTTTTACAATTTAAAATAACTGTTCTCTATTTTAATATACTTTAAAATATAATTTATTCCTTTGATGCCAAGCTGAATTTTCATCAGCCAATACTCCAGTCTTCAGGGTCACATGATCCTTCAGAAATTATTATTATACTGTATATTATATATACTCTTAATATTTCATTAGACCGCCTTTTTTTAAATTAGCTTTGATTACAGTGTGCGTTTGTTGTGGCATTGTTTCGACAAACTTATACAACATCACAACATTTATTTCCATCTAAAGTTGGTTGATGAATGTCCAGTGTGATTTTAGTATTATAGATATTCTGTTATGTTATTCATTAATATTTTTGAGTTTTTATTTTGCCATTTTAATTTTATGTAACTTTTTTTTTTTTTTACTTTGTGTGTGTTTTTAAAAATATGACTGTTAATTTTCATCAATTTTTATAAAATATAAACTAAAAGAAAATGGAAAATGTTGCCTTGGCAGCTAACTGAAATAAAATAAATGTAAGGTATTTTATGTTTTATTTCAGTACATATTTAAAATATTATTTAGTTTTTAACTGGACTTGTTTGAAGTTTAATTATAATGAGCATTCATCCAGACTGAGCAGAGCTGCAATCTAAACAAAGAACCTCAGATATAAGAGAGTTTGTCTTTGTGTCACGTGATCACGACGTGCTTTTTTCAGAGTTTAATATTCTGTTATTAGTCATTATTGAGTAAATGTGTCCAGTTTGACTAGATGTGTAAATTAGGCTCAGATCAGGTAGCAAAGTTAGTTTATTTCATCACAGTGTTTGTGAATTGATCGTGCTTTTTCACATATGTGACCCTGGAGCACAAAACCAGTCATAAGGGTCAGTTTTGTGAAACTGAGATTTATGCATCATCTGAAAGCTGAATAAATAAGCTTTCCATTGATGTATGGTTTGTTAAGATAGGACAATATTTGAAAATCTGGAATCTGAGTGTGCAAAAAAATCTAAATATTGAGAAAATCATCTTTAAAGTTGTCCAAATGAAGTTCTTAGCAATGCATATTACTAATCAAAAATTAAGTTTTGATATATTTACGGTAGGACATTTACAAAATATCTTCATGGAACATGATCTTTACTTAATATCCTAATGATTTTTGGTATAAAAGAAAAATCGATAATTTTGTCCCATTGACATTTTTCTTCTTTAACATTGTTCTGGATTTGTGTCCCGAAGGCACCAGAATGTGTCAGGGTTGAGGAAAGTGCTGGAACACATGCGTCCAGCTGTCTTTTCTCCTCTCTTGACTGGCGGCTCCAGCTGAGGGATAAAAATACCCTGCGGGATCCCGAACGAGGCTCTTACGGCGAGGTAAAAAGCACATTCATATGAGAAGCATGCAGATGTTTGATAGCTATATGAGCGCTGAATCTCCTCCAGCTGTCACTGTTGCACGCAATACTTTCTGCTCTCTTCTCAAAGCTCTGGGTTCGATTGAGACGCATCCGGTCTGCAGTCGTGCATCGACACCTCGAACCCCCCTGTGAACCCCCACATGGTACAGCTGAGGCTTCGGCTATTTTAGTAAGAGCTGGTGAATCCCAGCTGCCATGCAGGAGCTCGTCGGCATCGGTGAAGACGGCAGACATGGAGTTTGTGGAAGTGTTTGACTCTCCAGGGAAAGGAAGGGGTCTGCGGGCCATCAGAGAGGTTTGGGCCGGAGACGTTCTGTTCGCTGAACCGCCTTTCGCTTCAGTTGTGTTTGACAGGTAAGAGAACACTGCAAAAAATGATTCTCTTACTTAGTGTTTGTGTCTTGTGTTCTAGTATAAATATCTAAACATTCTTGAATCAAGATGCATTTACTGTACAAGTAAAAGGATTTAAGATATTAAGTCTTGTTTTCTAAAAAAAAAAAAACAATCAAAATTTGGTTATTTTTTTCTTAAAACAAGCAAAAATATCTGCCAATGGGGTAAGAAAAATAATCAGATTTCAGATATGGAGATGAAATAAACTGTAATAAGTTCTGCACAATGTGATTGAGATGCAGGGGAAAGAAAATTAAAGAGAAAGAATCGAAGCTGTATTATGATCATAATATCATCAGCTAAAACTAAAACCATAAAGATTTGTGTTACTTGAAATAAATGTTAAACATAAATAGTAAATAAATAAATAAAGCCATAAAAATGAAGATTTCTATTACTTGAAATAACTGAAATAAAATATGAAAAAATTAACTAAACTAAAAACCTTTAAAAAATCATTAAGTGAAATCAAGTAAATTTTAACTGAAAAAAAGTATAAAAGCTTTAACTTATTTTAGCTCGTTGCCAAACAAAACGTCTATTTTTTTTCTTAAATTAACTTTTAGACCTAGAAAAACTAGAACTAAAACTGAAATTAAGAATTTATATAAATATTAAAAAAACAAACAAAATTATTATTTTTTTCTTCAAAAATACACAAAAGTTCTTAAAACCTTAACTGAAATTAAATTCAGAAAATTAAGACTGGAAATTTTTAAAATAAAATTTTTTTTTTTTTTGGAAGTTGTAAATAAAAAACTTAAGATTATTGTAATGGGTGCGTTTTACAAGAAATTAATATTGTAGTTTTTCTACTTAAAAATTCCATATTTAATTCAGTGTGTTCCTTCTAAGTGAAAATGGTTTTAAAATAAATCCTCAGTGTAATTCATTTCTAAATTCTATGAAGATACGTCAGTGATACACTGATTGGGATTGATGTTTAAATGATCGGTGGGGTCGATTCAGTCGTGTCATATGCTCTGTGGCTGCTGATGGTCTATATATAACTTTTTGTGGCAGTTCCAGACCCAAACTCATCTAAAAACAGCCTGTAAAATCAAGATTAGATTCAAGCAACTCAGAATCAGAAGAGCGTCATTGGCTCGCCATGAAGAATCGGTTTTCCCATGTGAGCTTGCTGTATAAAAATAGGATTGCATAAGATAGATCAGCATGAAAGAATGAGATGAATGTGTCAGCAGTTACAGTTTTTGGGAGTGTTGAGCTGATCTGCTCTGTGTGCTCCAGTCACGCCGCCAGCGTCTGTCACAGCTGTTTCCGGCGGCAGGAGAAGCTGCAGCGCTGCGGTCAGTGCAGGTTTGCACAGTACTGTGATAAAACCTGTCAGCGTGCCGCCTGGGAAGAGCACAAGCAGGAGTGTGCTGCTGTCAAGAGCTACGGCAAAGTGCCCAATGAAAACGTCCGGTAAGTCAATGCACCTTGTCAGTGTCTTCTGACCAGAATCAGAAAGACCACACTGCAAAAAAATACGTTTCTTTGCTTTTTTTGTCATTTTCAATTAAAAGGTTGTTTTAGGTTCAGTTAATGTTCCTTTGCTCACACAGCGTGCAACAACTTCACAAACAAATTTTAATTACTTTTGTGCTTTGTTGCTATTGCTATTATTTTTTTCCCCCAACCTTCACTTTTAAAAATAAAGATGCTTCACGATGCCATAGAAGAACTTTTTTTTGTCGAAATAGTTCCATAAAGAACCTTTAACATCTGTTTCACAAAAGCTTCTTTGTGGCGAAAGAAGGTTCTTCAGATTATAAAAAGCTAAGAAAGGTAAAGAACCTTTGACTCAATGGTTCTTTGTGGAACCAAAAATGGTTCTTCTATGGCATCGCTGTGAAGAACCTTGAAAGAAGGTTCTTCAGATTATAAAAAGCTAAGAAAGGTAAAGAACCTTTGACTCAATGGTTCTTTGTGGAACCAAAAAATGGTTCTTCTATGTGCTGTGAAGAAGCTTTTAAGCACCTTTATTTTATCATTTGTGCCGTTCTTGGTCAACTATTTAATCATAGACCTCATTAACCTCGGTTTCTGAGTGAATATTGCCAAAGCTATCAGCAGTTACTGCTTTCATTAGATAAAACAGCGCTGCTTTACCCCACATACGCACGACCGGAAGCAGCGGAAGCGCTCGACTGTGGCATAATAA